CTCAATTGACTCTAACACACATTCAAAACACTTCTGACAGTACAACAAATCCTTTATCTTAATCGAAGGTATGAGGTGGTATTAAGTGGTATGGTCGCGGTTTCTTTTGATTAGATTGAACTTGTTTGACTTTGTTGTCACAACTTTGTCATATTGGCAAGAAGATCTAGAGCAACTCACCTCGTCCGGAGTCCATACTACACTACACTACACTGTTTAGAAGACTTTTAAACGCATACCAGCAGTCAAAATAAAATATATTTTTAGTTTATATTTAGGCTTTTGATTCTACCAGCAGATCATATATATGAGGTGTGTTCATTGTTTTTCGTTTAGGGTTTTAAGATGACTAGAAGTTGAATTTTATCACAATGATATGAGTAGACATGATGTTTATATTAAATTTCGCATAGCCCTACTTTCCAAACAGTTATTCTCATCCAAGTTGGACTGCAGTTTCGACCGCGCCCAGGTCTTATTAACACCTCTTGCGGAATTTAAACCACGTCACTGCAGCGTATGATCTCCACACATTAATTACTACGCTACAATGCTACGAATGCCATTTGCTTCGTCGACAATCTCATCAGAGAAGGTAATACGGGAAAATATTTGGCATTCCTTGAAATTTATATATGTTCTGTGACTCAATGGCACTCGTGACAGTGTGGTGTATTGGTTACTGTAGCAAGAATATATGCTGCAATGCTATGGTTCGAGCCCCGCTGGGGCTGTTAAGAACTAAGCGAGGTCGAAACTGCAGTCCATCCTGAATGTGATTAATTTTTGGGTAAGCAAAGCTATGCGAAATATTCTTGTAGATAAGTTCAATTACCAGTCCTCTTATCACCCTAAACGAAATAGGCTGAATACATCTCATTCAAAGTGAAATCAACTTGTTTACTGTGATTAATCTATTTACATACACTATTACTCATCAGTTCATTCAACTTCAGTCCAAAAATCGCAGCATATCTTTTTATAAATACTCATTTTAGCTTTTTCTATCATTAATGAGACAAGTTTTATAGTGCTGAAGAGTCTTTTTTATATATTTTTGTTTATCATGTTTTATCAGGGGATCATTTTTTTAACTCTGGCTTATTATGTTATTTCTTCCATTTTTACCTGTAACATACCTTAGGATGCCAAGTATTCCAAAATTATTTCTACTTCTGATGCCTCCGTTCAATCAATCTTCGACAAAGGCCTTGCTTTGACTGATAACCTTGGAATTCTTTTACATCAATTCGCACATTTGCTGCAGTGTTCTAGAGATGAGTCAGAGAATTTGGCCCTTGTCAACGAGTTAACAAGTCATATTATGGGTGCCATTCAGGAGGAGATATCGAATCAGCAATCAGCCTTCTGCGGATATATAGATGCAATTCTCGGCCAGATAGTTTATTTTCTTCAGGTAGTTACTCACGGTCTACTTTCTTGTTGATTTACGACCAATCCTAAGCTATGCCTATGCAATCCTCTTCAAATGTAAACCTGGTACCTTTGGCAATAGATGCGTTATAATTTTTTATTTAAAAATGATAAATTCAAGGCTTGGATTGACCTCGGCTTCACAATTGCTCCTTTTCTTAGTAGGCTTTCACGATTATACTTTGCACTGTATCTTCTATATGATTTGTGTTCGCCCTATTTCGTTTAAGGTTATGAAGGACTAATAATTGAATTTTGCCACAATTATATTAGTAGAGTTGATGTTTCCATTGAATTTTACATAGCTTTGCTTTCCCAAAAAGTATTCTCATCCAGGGTGATGGGGAAGCAAAGCTATGTGAAATGCAATGGAAGCCTCAGCTCGACTGATATCATTGTGGGAAAATTCAACTCCCAGTCCTTCAACACTTTAAACGAAATCTGGTGAACACTGCTCGAAAATTTACTCAATAATGGAATATTGTATTTTCTGCCATCATATTTACGTTTTTTCCCCATATTTGTTCATCTATCTTGTGATATCTACTTTTGGAAGGTTATCCTATTACAATGTTATATAAATCAATAGCTAGGTTAGCTTAAGTCTTAAAGTAAAGACGATCATGCCATGAAACTGTGGTCAGGCTTAGTACAAACTGTCTATACTTGATATTTAAAATGTTTACCATATTCTCAGATTACCTTTGGGGAATTTGGTAATAAAATTTTATATTCGTGTATTAAACCAGTTTAGCGCTACCTAGTTTGATTAAAAAAGATGACTTTCATCCGAATTAGCCTAAGGGAGACCTGCATTAATAAATAATCGAAAAAGATCTCCACATATATCTATTCAAACTGCTTAATGTTCAAGTATTTTTAGCACCCAGGTTTTGTCAAATTCTTTCGATCATGAATTGTATATAGAGAAGCATTGGAATGCTTTTATGTAGCGTAAACCATTAATAGTTTATTGATGATTTTGACGCCATGGTTTATTTCGTTATTCCAAGCCTGGATAGTTGAGCCTTCGCTTATAAAGGGAATTTAGTTTTACCCTTTTTTCAGGTTCATTATCGCGTGTCGATTAAATAAGAAAACCTTATTGTGGTCTCTTAGCAGCAATACATCCAAATTGTTCAACCGTTTGTCTTCAATACATTCAATAGGATGACTGTCTTCATTTTAAAATATTTTCGCCAAGTCGATTCGGCTAAAATTATTAGTGAATGAATTAAGTTTAATTATAAATATTGATGTCACTTCTTGTGTTATCGGGATTAAACGCCCCCATTAATACTCAAATTCGCATGGCTGGCCAAAGCTATGTTCACATTTCATTTGATCCCCTCTAGCTCATGCTAGATTTGCAGACAAATTCTCGACAGCCCTAAGTATAGCTTTCTTTTCCCCACATTCTTTAATTTTTGAACCCCTTTTTCATTGCTTCTTCGTTTATTTTACTAAAAAAAGGCACATTCAATCTTTATGTACAACATCGTTGATTAGTAGGTCTATATTTTGAGGAAATTTAAATAATTGAGGCTAAGAAATTTTGGCCTCTGGTCTCCATTTCTTCAATTAAACTACGGTAGTAAAATTGTCAAATAATTAAGGCTCCTGTTCTCGGTTATGATTAAATTGACTACTAATCAAAAAAATTATTTTTGGCGTTTTTCTGATTAATTAAGTCTTTATATATATATTTTTTTTTTTAATTAAAACAAAATATTTAGACGTCTTGATATATTTGCGCTAGAATGCTTGTTCACGACATCATCCGTGGTGTTGAATCCTTTTCTAATTTCATTTAGACAAAAGGATCACTGATTAAGTATTCATATCTTCATTTCCTTTCACACGAATGTGATATAGGCACTTTATTACCTACTTCCATTTGTTTAATCGCAATTTTCTTCATAGTGCTTTCTTGAACCAGTTCCACCTCCTGAGTGTCTTGCCTCCTTCATTCGAGCTCCGTCTCAGCCACACTTTCCTACTTTCTCCAGCCCCCGAACCGGTGACTTACTTGATTATAGCTTCGAAGCTACATTAGTACGTCTCTCCAAACTTGCTGCATGGATCCGCCAATCCGTGCCTCATTCGTCTCCTGCTGAGAATGGCCTACATTCCAGAACTAATTGCATACAAGAGGCAGGCACTTCGCTCGAATCAATGCAATCTGCAGGGCCCATATCGAATCTCAGCCTCTCAGCTGGCAACAATGAACAGATAGGTGACATACTTTCTGATCGAAATTCTCCTGAAACATGCAAAGAAGCAATTAGTCCTTTCGCTATGTCTGCCCCCATAGCTGGAAAACTAGGGCCGAACGCTGTTCCGGATGTACAGCTCAGTTCTTTGGAAGTGATGGAGCAACTCAAAGGTAGATTATGAGTCATGTTTTTATTTTTTATAGAAATTACTATGACAACTTTAAAATCTACTGGTAACTGACATGCTACTAGCATTTTATCGTCTATTTATGTGGATTTTGTGTGCCATTATAGAAACTACCTTCGATTCTGACTATGATGATTTGAAGAAGTGGTAGGATTTCGTAAAGAAATTCACTAGGCCAT